TGTTTGTGAGTGAACTCCTTCTAAACAAACGAAACGATTTTGATGAAATTTCTTTATGTGTTTGAGTGAGTCGCTGGGTTCACAACTTAAAACGCGAGGAGGCGCTGTAGTCGGGTTATTACTAAAAATCGTATCTATTATCCGATTTGGCTCATATTCGTCATATACATATATTGGTAAAGATAGGGGCAATACTAATATTGCAAAAAAAGCTGCAAGGTAGCTGGAATCGATTTATTGGTAAAAATCTTAACGTAAAGTCATTCGGAGACACCACCATTAAAAGAACCACCAGTAGATACCTTTGCGGTCCTTGCTTTACGGCAACTAAAGAAAGACTTTCTTTATAAATTCGTACAAATAAGGTATTTCGTCTGAAATAAGTCTATGTATATTGGATTATCTGTGGACCAATGATACTCCCCCATTTTGAAATTGCCACCAACTGTACTACACAGAATCAAGGACGATTCACCATCGAACCGGAACATTGTTGCCGCGAGAACATCTTCCGATAACGCTTTCATTGGGTTACTTAATACGGCAATGGAGTATATGCCTTCTGACGACCACAAAACCAAACGTGAACGTGAATTTGTTGGTGAAAACGTTCGACCAAATTTTTCAATAAAAAACTTATTTTGGGCGGGACGAAGTTCGCCGGGTCTGCTAGTATACTATAAAAAGCAGCCAAATTGGCACATAAATATGTTAAATATGGGACATTTATTTTTATTTTTTCGCGGTAGACTTTCCGCTGGAAACGCCCATATGTATGTATGTATATACGATTGTACTCACAATGCGACGCATTTCTCTAGAACAAATACATAGTTGAATTAAAAAATCATTGCACTTTATTTTGTTTTTTATTTGACGATTTTTCTTGACTAGAATGCGCCACTTGTTTTTTGTAACAAACAAACCCATTCTCATATCGAAATATGCCGGTGTGTGCATGTTTATAACGTTGCCAAAAACAAATGTTTTAACAGAATTAGAAATCGTCTCTTTATTATACTTAAATTAAATGGGCTACAAAACTGCATACTCAAAATCTTTCTGTGAAATCTAATTGAAAAGATGGACATTTTTACATACAGGTGAAACTAATATGTATAAATGTATTAAAAAAAAATAAAAAAATAAAATTAAAATAAAATAAAATATAAAGAGCAGAAATCAGAACCTGAGTTTTGTTTTATTCTGCAGCTAATACATTTCTAAGTAAACTACGCATTGTGCGTCTGTACGTACATATCTGTGTTCGTATCGAATAGTAGCTTATGTCGGCAAGCTGGATTTAGTATAATTCTTTAAACGACAAGGAATTTTTTAATGAGACTTAATAAAAATATTGACTTGCTATTTAGTAACGGAACTATTTCTCCACGTTTATTTGCCAAAAGTTCTTCAACGGCTGGGCGCCAGTGAGTCCTTCGCGGTCGTATGCTGCGAATGCCGCATTATACTAAAGCCAGCTTGCCGACATAAGCTACTGTTCCATACGATCAAAGATATGGGCAAATCTAATAAATAGGTACACTCTCCAAAGAAAAAAATTAATTTTTAAATTTGTGAGTACACCTACGTTTTATACATAGTATATCATTTTATTCGTATTCTCTTAATAAATCGATTAATATACATATCTACGTGTAATTCATTTTCATCAAGTGCTTCAAACGTTAGACGGGGAATAAACCATGAAATAGAAAACAAAAGAATAAGCTGGGTTTAAATTACTACGTTGTTCAAGTTGTAAATTTTGAGCAAAGATTTTGAAAGTTTAACTCACTTAATTGGGACGTTCTAAATTCAATGACATGCCCCGTTTTACCAGATTGGCTCCGGTTTTCGAGATACCGCTATTTGAAAATTTAATGAAATGTTAACTATTTTATAAATAACTTCCTCAGTTTTGAAGTTATTTTACTAAAATTTTGTACATAACGGGTTTTTTAACATAACCTTAATTATTCCTTGAAATTATCGAAATGGGTGCACTTTAACGTACAGCTTAGATATGTATTTTTGCGCTATAACTCTAATTCCATATCTCAATAATAAATTGTATGCGTGCTATATGTTAAAGTGAACCTACACTAAATTTTTACCTGCTTCACTGGAGGAGGCAAAACAACGTCTCTGGACAATCAGTTGTATGGGAGCTAGATGTTAGAGTGAGCCGATGATTTTATGAGATGGTGAAGGAAACATTGAAATACAAGCCTGTGCAAAATTTTAGTAAAATATCTTCCAAACTGAGGGAGTTTTTTTTATAAAATAGTTCAAATTTAAGCAAGTACCGCTATCTCCAAAAGTTGAGACAATCGGGCAAAACTGGGGACGCCATTGAATTTAGAAGGCTCTAATTAAGTAAGATCAACTAACAGAACCTTTGTCGAAAAAAATTTGATTTGATACCACGCTCGAAATATTCTGACTACAAGAAGGAGCATAATTAAAAGTACTAAATCGGGGTTTTTTCACACTTCTAGAGAACATTTTTTTGAAGCATTTTACAGGTACATATATGCAACGTTATAAGGACTAGTAGTTATAAAAATATTTAGATCGTTTCGACGTATTTTACAAATGTGCCTTCAATTAAGATATTTTTGGAATAGAAATTACGCTCAAGATCGCAGAATATTTTATCTTTAAAAGTTGGTTTATTCTGAAAGCACAGCTCTTGCTCAGGTATCAGATCGTTCGCAATTGTTTGTAGAACACAATACATACTGAAAAAGTTCTTAAAATTAAATGCTTCAAAAACTATACGCGATAAACCGAAAATTTTGAAAATTGTGAAATGTGGAGCTACAGACTTTGAGTTACTTGCCATTTCGTTATTTTTAACCGACTTTCAAAAAAGGAAGAGGTTATCAGTTCGTCGGAATATTTTTTTTTTTTATGTATGTTGCCGCATAACTTTGGACCACGTCAACCGATTTCGATAATTCTTTTTGCATCGGAAAGGTAGTGTCCCATACTAATCTGGTTTAGATCCGATCATTTTTTTGAAGTCGTTTTTTTTTTTTTGCTAAAAATGACTTGTTTAATGCACACTTTTCTTACCTACTATATGGTATGGTAAATATGGCGTGCTTCAAATGTTATGACATAATTAATTTTGCCCCTCTTAAAAATTACATAAAAAATTCACGTTTTTGTTATTTTTTCAATTTAAACACCTGTAATTGTAAAGTTATGCAGCAAATTGATCCAAATTTTTTTTTTTAGGCGTCAATTATACGTCAATAAGCTATAACCAAAAGCAACCAGCTTGATCTAGTTTCAAACAGTGAATATAAAGCTAAATAACACCCAGGTTACCTGTTTTTTAGATTTGCCCCATATGTACATGAATTACTTATTGTCTCAGTGGGGTGAAATTGTTCAAACATTTCGGTGTATACTCTCGTACGATTAATTGTCTCACAAAATTGAGGGTGTGTGATCAGCATTGTAAGAGTGAAAATATTTATAGTCTCGAAGGAATTTCGAACTTGACCACTTGCGCCGGTTTGACGCCTGTGACCGTCATCCTAGCTCTTCAATGCTTCGCGTAATCGTCGACTCGCTGACACACTTTGTCGCCTTATTGCCGCCCGCCTGCCACCATTCAGTGAACGTGTGGCCATGCCAGTTTGGTAGCCGCCAAATATAATCTTGTTTTGGGCCATGGTCAGCGGGCTCACGCTATACATACATATATCTGTGGTATTTTGATAAAACAACTTAAGTGATTTTATAAAGTTTGACTTTGGATAAAAAAAAAGAATAAGTTCCCTTTAAGAGCTATACATTTTTATTAAATAAGCTTTTATTAAAAGGGCATATAAAACTATGACTATGGTTTAATTTATCAATAAAATATTGTTTGCGAACCTAACGACATATTGCTTTAAAAAGAAAATGTCCTAACTCGAGATAAGTTGTTTTATCAAAATGACAATGTGTATATGTATATTCATATATTACATTCGTTTGTATTCATGGGATTTCATTCACCGAACAATTTCTAGCAATCGTCGCATTCCTCGCTCTCTTCGTACGCGATTTAGTGAGATCAAGCATTTCAGAGCAAATAGACTTTTCAATGTATGTTTTTAAATATATATAAATATGTACATATGTATGTACATATTTTGCTTACATTAAAATGAGCCAAAATTATGAAAATGTAATATCTGCTGTACGATACATACATACAGTCAGTCAATAAAGTTTAGGTACAGCGAATTTTTTACAATACGGGCAACTGTTTTTTTAATATTTTATTTTTCGATAATTTTTTTATAAAAATATGGTTAATTCTACAACAAAAAACCAAAAAATTAGAGTTCCAAACCTTGTGCAAAATTAAAGAAAATTTTGCAAAATTTCATTCAAATATTGCACTTCTTATTTACGCTCTATAGAAAAAAGTTGAGTATGCAGTTTTTTAGCCCATTCAATTTTAGTATAACAAAGTGCAAGTTTGAGGTAGCTGGGACTTATCATTGATTTATAGCAATTTTTTTGTTGAAGGTGTCGCTCATTTTCTCCATATAAAATAATGTTTGATAAATTTTTTATATGGAAAAAATGTGCGACAGCTTCAACAAAAAAATTCCCCAAAAATCAATGGTAAGTCCTAGCTTCCTCATACTTGCACTTTATTATACTAAAATTGAATCTGCTAAAATGAATGAAATTTTGCAGAATTTTCTTTAATTTTGCACAAGGTTTGGAACTTTGAATTTTGAGGTTTTGGTTGTAGAACTAACCATATTTTTATAAAAAATTAGCGAAAAAAAAAAATATTTAAAAAATAGTTGCCCATATTGTAAGAAATTCGCCGTACCTAAACTTTATTGACTGACTGTATGTATGCACATATTATATACTAAAAAATGGAATGCTCTTATTATAGATATCTAAGTGTTTATAGACAACCGCTAAATGTTAACTCTGATTGACAATAGATAAGCAAAATGCTAAGGCGTTTTTTGTTTAAAATATATTTTATTTACATGAATTCAGACTTCATTATTTACATGGATTGTGTGTTTGAATGGCTAATGTTATCTCACAATGAAGCCGATAATGTTTAATAAATCAATTGTACATTAATTGCATCTGCATCCGCTGCATATGTATGTATGTATGTATGCCATGGTTATTTATGTATGTATGTATGTACAAAGCATATTTCATGGGAAAGCTTAAATAATACACGGTACTATATGTATATGTAAGTATGTATTTACATTGAAGAATTGCTTATATGTATGTAGAAACAGGATATACATAATGAACAAGCCAAACCTAATCTACAGGCTACGCGTAAATAAGATCAACAATATTTACAGAATTACAAAAAAATAAACAAATAAATAAATATCTAGTTAAAGACATACAGATAGATTAATCTACTTCGTAAGCTGTGATGGTTGAGAGAAGTCGAGATCAGAAAACCAATTTTCCATACTGTATCTGTCTGTCTTTGATGCCCTTTCCCAAACTAAAATAATACATATATACAAAACGGATTGTAACGTACATACTTATCCGCCCAAACGCTTTCCATAGCCGCATGGCCATATCAGACCATATTCCATATACTATACGTTCGAGCACGCCGCTCTTCTTCCGCTATCTGCTCATAGTCGATTTCCAGATACTCTTTACCGCCGAAATTTACCCTACGGCCAGTGTACTTCTTGATGTAACTGATGTGTGCCGAAATTTCTTTGTCGTCGATCTTGATTTTATAGGATATGCTTGTGATTCGTTCAATAATCTGGCCTTTCTTCCAGCGTATTTGTGTCTTGCGGAAGCGCTCTCCATACATTACCCAATCGCCCACTTGGTATTCTCGTTGTTTCATACAGGATTTGATTGGCTGGACGGGTTCCACTGCTTGCCCTGTGCTATCGTCTTCATCGTCTGTTACGTAAGCTATTGCTCTCTCTAAAGTTTCGGTAGCAGCTGGTATGGCATCTGGCTGATCAGGTTCTTTGAAGAATGAAGAAGTCTCTCCAACGGAGAGTTTGCGCTGTTGACGTTTGATGATTACTTTCTTTTTAATTTTGCGTGGCTCTTTAGGTTCGGTTAAAACGATGGCCGATTCAATGGGACGTTCTTCGACAGTCTTCATTTCGTCATCAAGAATATTTTCTTCTTCGTTTTTTTCGGATTTTTCCGCTACCAAATTACTTGAAAGCTGAAGTCTGTGATTATCTTCGTCTTTTTTAGTTTCTATGGCCGCGGTTTTGTTGGATGTCTTATTTTCAGTGGCGTTATCTATGGAGCTTTTCCGTATTATTCTTTTAATTGTGATTTTCTTTTTTGAAAAACTAATTTTACCCGCATCGTTTTCTGCAAAAATTTGCACCGGCTTTACGGGCGTTGGAGTGACCTGCTGCTCTGGCATTTTATCACCTCCGTCGACTTCCGCGATTGGCTTTATCGAATTATGGTTTAAAATCTCTTTAATATTCTGTTCTTCAGGACAATCGCGCCTACTTGAAACTGTTAATGTTTGTACAGGACACAACGTGTTGCCGTTAACAGAGGCTGATGTATCCAAATGTGTAGTGGAGCTGACTTTTTCTGTACCTGCCAAAGTTGCAGCGCTATTTGATGCTTCAGAGCAACTGATCAACTGCCCAGGATCTGCATTAACTCCTTGACTGGTTGGTTGGAATTCCAGATCAATGGGTTTCTGCGAAACGTCTGCTAATGTTAAAGCTGACTGATCCTCGCTAATGCATTGATCATTTGCCTTTTCTGTAGAAAACGTTATTTCTTTTGCTTTGCTTAACGGTTGCTTTTCTGCGTTTATTGTGTGACTGCTTGCCTCGCCAGCCTGCAACTGACTTGCCATCGCTGCCATCGCTGCTGCCACCATTTCACCGTTCTCATCACTCAACTTCGTTGATGACCGCCAAGCATTTGTCGCTATTGATAATGCCTGCTTTACCTCGGATTTCGTTTTGTCTAACTTATCGCCACTGTCCAACTCTGCATCACCAATTGCGCTTGCAGTTGTTAATTGTGTTGACAACAACAAATCTGACGCTATTGGCACTTCGGTTTTAATTGTTGCCTGCGTAGCCGCAGTGTTCACCACCGTAGTTATTGCGCTGCTTTTTAAAAGTGTCGTTGTAGCAGCATTTTTAGTACGATCATTATGCTGATTTATATCCACCTTTGATGTTGTTGATTTTTTTTTCACGGGCGGTCGTTTCTCTTTCACAACTGTTCCGTTATTTTTTATTGGTGCATTGCCGACTGATTCTGAAATGTGAATTTTTCTTTTTACTATGGCTTCGGAATCCGAAGGCCGCCTTTGTGTTTTAATTGCAAGGGGAATGGCTATATTGACCGGTGGGTCAATTTGCGAACCTTCAGTTGCGGCGATAGAGGCACGGCGAGCGTTCTGTTTTGGTTTTAGTATAAGCCTTTTTTTTGGCCTTTTTGTTTCGTTTGCCGATATATTCGGAATATGTGGTTCAGTTGCTTTTGACTGAATTTCCATTGAAGCATCTTTAGTGTTGCAGCTTTTAGTTTCTACTTCAGCAACGTCAATAACTGTATTATCTCCCGCAACAGGTTTCAGGTTGGGCTTAGCGGATTCCAAAATATTATCTTCAATACATCCTTGAAATTTCTCGGATGTGTTTTCATTTGAAGTCATTGAAAGTTTCGCAGAACTTTCTAAAGCCAAATTTTCAATTTCTTGTGATTTATTTCCGTTTTCAATCACAGGAATCGAAGTAATATTATCGTGATCCTTTATTCCGCCTTTTTCTAAATTTATTTCTTCACTTGGCACATGACAATTATATTCACAATCATTAGTCTGGTTTGCTTCTATTGTTTCGCATTTTATGTCTTCCTTTAATTCACAGGTTTCCCCTTCATTGAACACGCTTCGGCGTCGAATTTTTTTGACGAAGCGAAAACTCACTGGACCTTCATCCTTTACAGTTGTTTGGTCGGTTGTAAGTTTATGCGAATCCAGTGATGTTGAAGAATCATTCGGTTCGCATAGAGGCTGATCCGTTTCACCACCCTCATCGGTACTGTAGTGCTTTAGCACACCCTTTACTTCGTTCAAAGCCCCCGATATTCGCGCTCGCAGTCGATTTAACCGCTCGATTGGATCTTCCTGCTTATCTTGCGAATATTGTGAATGCATTCGCCTCTGTCGGCGTAGCAACGTCCTCGTTGGCAGCACCGAATCCCTTAGGTCGATAGATGCGCTGGACTCAGAACGCGACAATGACGCACTTTCCCGACGAGCCTTTCCGAAATTCGCCAACTTCGAAACATCTTTGGCGGCAGACAAAACACTGCTGCCACTCGCTGCAGCAGCCTGTATTTGCTCGTTTTTAACCTGAGTACTACTACCCAACGATCGCAGCGTGGCGTTTGACGCACTTTTAGCACTGTTCATTTCGAACTTCATTTCCGCAAGTGATCCCTCGTCGACAAATGAGTTTTTATTGTCATCCAAGTAGGACAATGAAGCATTAATATTATCTTCTTCTTTCTGCTCTTCAACTTTCGTTATGGTCATTGCAATGTCCCCCCCTCTGACGAAATCATCGAATTCCCCTGCCCGTCGTGATTCAGTTGATGTTTTGGCCCCAATACCATCTAACGACGGATCACTGCTGGCGGCAGAAACGTCACTTTTATCATTCGGCGAAACTCTTTGAGATTTGAGATTGAGAAAATTTTGGCAATCGTTTTGCACATGCTGCGTGGCTGTGGTTGTCTGAGTGGTGGTTGCGCTTTGCGTTTGTATCGGGCAACTCAGTGGCGTCAGCTGGTAGTTACTAGATGTGGATGTTGCTTCATTCGTAGAAAGCGATTCGGCAGCGGGAGGTGGAATTGGTTCTATATTGATACGCGCGATATTCGATTCACATACAACCCGGCCATCTACTAACAGATCCTCCTGCGAAGACGGATCGCGCACTTCTGATTCGGTGAGGTATGCCGACCATGGCTGTTGCCCATGTTCGAAATTAATATCGGAGAGGTTATTAGTTCTACTTGTTTGAGGGTTGGATGCGTCGTCGTCGAAATTTTGCTCTTCCGTCTGTACTGTTATTTTTGCGCTCTTTTTTTCTGGCGCAGCTATTGTTGATCGTGCCTCTGGTGGAGGTGAAGGTGAGGGTGTTTTAATTCTATTTAAATTTGAGTTTGTTCTGTTAACTTGTTTCCCTTTATTTTGTTGTTGTTGTTGTTGTAGATGATAATTTTCATCTACTAAATCATTCATATTTTCGTGAGAGCATTGTGTTTCCGATGCTGATCTTGAATTTTGAATCTGCTTGTCGATGTGTGTTCGCTCGCCGCATCTTTTTGGCTGCCCCGAAACGTGGGTATTTTTAGATGCTTCTGTTGCCAATACATCGTCATTGTACGAGCGTTTATGTACATACATAATTTGCTTTTGAACTTTTCGGTCATGTTCACAGTTTTCGAGATTTGTTTGTTTTTCGGTATATATTTCCACCAATTTCTCCCCATTTAAATTTGCATGCATAAAGCTGTTAGATTGCGTCATTGTTGATGACAAAGTGTTATTTTCTTCTCCGCTCGCTGGTACTGCGCGTATTTTGAAAAGTAAGTCTGTTTTCATTGGAAAAACAAGTTTATCACCATAGCTCGTTTCAGATCTTGCTCTGTCTATCTGGGTTATTGGAAATTTTTCCGAGTTTACTCCGATTGGTTTTTGTAAATTAAATTCTCCTCCAACTTTGCATTGATATTCAGATGGTGTTGGATGAAACAAGTTAGACTTCGAAGGAAATTTTGTGCTGTTTTTAATCTGCGAAGTAGGAAATCTATTTTGGCAACTGATTTGATTTAAACATTTCAGTTCGTTTGATATTAGCGGAATCGAAGATAGATTTTTTACCTCATAAGATTTCTTCTGATCGTCATGAAAACTAAATTCCTCGATATTTCGCATATAAAGAGCAAGTCCATAATGGTTGTGCCCCATGACTTCGGATTTTTCTAATGGCGCCCTTGGCGATATGCCGCTATCGGATTTTACAAAAGATATTGGAAAAAGCTGAGACTCCTCATGTGCATTGGACCGAAGAGGAAACCGCGTGACACTCGTTTTAGTTTCCGCCTTTTTGCAGTTACTCTCTTTTCGATGCATTTTGCACTTAACCTCAAAATCAGCAGAAATAAACGCCGACGACTGCGTTGCCGAATTGCCATCCCTGAGGGACACGAGTAAGTTACTTTGATCATTTGGCGCGTTCACTTCTTCAGCATAAGTCAGTGCGGTTGTTGTCGAACCCATCGTTTTGGATGTGGAACTGCAGGATACATCAAAGGCGGGATGATCTTGCGTATATTTTGTCCCTGTTTGACCTATTTTGCTACTCCGAAAATAACACAAAACAGAGAATCTAAATCCAGCTTGGCGACGGTATATCAGTCTGCGATAGTGATACGTCTTATAGGTATGAACGTTTCCAAGATTGGTAGCCGACTCAAAAGATTGTATACTTGTTAGACCTCAGTACCTAGGTACTACGTTATGCTACAGCGGCTCATTGGCCTCAAATATTTGGATAAATAGTCTTGCTCAGCTATGCCTCGTAATGAAACGAAACGTATCGTTGCAACGCGGTGTAAGGCGAATTTGTGACTGCCCTGCAACCACAAAGAAACTTCGCATTTACATAAATTCAAATGAATGAGTATCCTCATCGCCATCGCCATCATCATCACGTCGTGATTAGCGATGGTAATGATAGCAAGTTTGGCATCCGTTAGCTTAACCATTGGGAAGAAAGCAAAGAAACATGTATTTTCTGTGACTATATGTACATACATACATACACATACATAAATAGCTGTGAGCAAAATAATAGCAGCAAAATTCAAACTTTGGCAACTTATGTTTATTTATTCATTTTTAATAGAATAATAATAATAATAAAATTTAGTTCGATCTATAACAGAAACCACATAAATAACAGTTTCAAAAGTTCACAAAAACTAATTAAACTTCACAAAATGTTCCCCAAAATTTCAAACTTTTTATTCAGAATCTTTATAAGATTTGGAAGTATGTAGGCAATTTTAGTATAATAAAGTGCAAAGTTCAAGTCGTTAAAAATTACCATTGATCATTTCGAACTTTTGTTGTGGAAGGTGTTGCGCATTTGCTTCCATATACATAAAAATAAATTTTGAAGCGTTATATGGAAGAAAATGCTAAACACTTGTGGCAAAACAAAATCTAAAAATGCAACGGTAACTTCTAGCGACTTTTAACTGATTCTAAGTAACCTAATTAAAGACTCGAGATTTTGGTGAAACTTTTGTTGAAGTTTGATTAGTTTTTGTGAACTTTTTGCAAGCTTTGAAAACTTTATTTATGTGGTTTCTGTTATCGATCGAACTAAGTTTCCATCGCCAAACTTCTTTAAATGAAAAGCAGTACAAAAAAAAAGTACAAAAGCAAAAGATGCAGTATGTAATCTGCAAAATCTCACAGAATGGGGGCCATGTAACGACAAGTTGCATATTGTTAGGCGCGTTGATAGCATACCCTTGGTAAAGCTGAAATTAGTCAAGAACGTAAACCTACCGGTACGTAAACCCGTGTCAGCTGACACGATCTGTCTTACCAAAGCGCCATGTAAATGAGTTTTCATTTTTCTGCAGTTGTAGCCCGTAGCGCAGAAAACTGCGGAATTTAGATTTTTCCGTGTCAGCTGATTTCTGCCTTCTATAGATGGTTGCCACTTCGCCAGTTTTGCAGATGGTAAAAAAGTTATAAGTTCCTATTAGGCCTCTGCATGAGTCGATTCTAATTTCAAGCCAAAGAGAGTACAGTAGAATTGTGTATTCTATTTCAAGTTCAAAACACACAACGTTTTAAATTTTGTATTTTATGAATATTCATTGCGTTTCAAGT